TTACATAATAATAATGCTTACATAATACTTGCTTACTTTGGTAAAATTAACAAATAACAACACAGGTTCATAACCTCAATTTTAAAGTGAATCTACAAGGCTTAGTATAGCACATGATTTCGATCTTGTGTAGTTTATAGGTAAAAATCTCAGTTGAAAATCTCATTTGTCAGAATGCAAAAGGAACGCGCATTTAACTGACGTCACAAGTGAGAATTGTCTGAGAATCGGTGTAAATGGAAAGCAACTATTGTAACCGTTTCTTTTTAATTAGAAGCTGCTAACGATTGTAAGCAGGTGTGTAATCACATGACGAGCACGAGTCTTTTGTTTGTCAACATTGCCGGGCAAGTGCCCGTCCCCAACCGAATCTCTGTTACTTTTACTAATATATTTCATACGCCTATCTGAAAAGTTTCTTTATTTGTTGGTTGAGAGAACTTATTGCCCTATATGAGGTACTCTCCCTGGAGGCCCCTGTCTACAAGGTTAATGGGTCTCGCATTCGAAACTCAAATCCTTTGGGCTTGAAGAAGTTTCTTTATTTTCGTTATGCCATCCACGTACTATCCTTTCTAAGGATATCTTACATAATTATAGTAGTTTAGTAAATTAATTATAATTTGCAATAATTTCTTAAACTGGTTATCGTATCGAATATTAATAATATAATTTATTTATTAATACATATACCTTTCTCGCAGTTTCTTGATAAATTTTGTTTGTCGTTCGTCCATACTACAGTGGAGGGTCGTTCCCTCTGATCGTCTTTTTCTAAAATCAGGGTGCAATTCAGACAACCGCGGAGCCAGCAAGCGAGCAAGTGTTCCGCCGTGACCAATGGGCCCTTTGCACGCATGTGTGCGCTTCCCAATGCGATATTAATATCGCGATTATCATCTACGTATTATCGCTGCACCCTTATGAGTGGGATGTTCAAAATAAGCCTACGTGGAAGCACCCCTCCACGGTCTTGTATTCGCGCACCAAGCCGTGCACCAAGCACCCGGTGTGACGATGCACGAGGAGGCGCAAGTGCATTTTGGCCTTATATACAAAAAGGACGCGATACGTACCGTTCAGTTCTAACTAGGCAATACCTTTTTCTATATTAAACATAGAGAAGTTTATAAGATAAAAAGAAAAATGAGATTAATTTTAAAAAGTAATCATTTATACGAATATAATAAATATTTTTTAGGGAGAGATAATATATATTTTTAATTATAAATAACACATTAATATCATATAATATACAGATTCCTTGAATGTTATATTATTATATTGATATAATTATTGATATTAAATTTAAACAGTATTCAAGGCGATACATCATTTCTTATGCGAATAAAAATACCGAGATTTAAAAAAGAAAATTATATTGCTTTGTAATCGATAAGATATAGAAAAATTGATATAATGCAATTGATATGATGCACTATGTTATGAACTTTCTATATTATATCGTCGTTATCGATAAATACATTTTGTATACATTTGCATGAAAATACGTAAAGGCAGTCACTAATGAAAAATATGCATGCACTCGGAATCTTTTGCCACGGGGAGACGGAACCAATCTCATTGTTCTATGTCCCTTCACTGAATCCTGAGTTATGATCTTTTGCGGGAGATGGTCATAAAGGTGATTCGTCTCGGTTCCGCAAGTGTCAAAAGTCTAATGTTATTTCCAACGAGATTGTGGCTTATGTGTTACTAGGTAATATTTGCTTCGAATCGGGCTAGTCAAGTCGACTAGTATAGCGAATTTAGCTGGATAAATAACAGTTATCTAAAGATTATCAATTAATAATTGTCTTCTAGTATTTTTTCAATTTAATTTTATATTATTTTTTGTTTCATTTGAATTATATTTTTCTGCGAAAATATGCTAGAACAATTGTTACAATCATGAGATTTGCTAACAATTATTATAATTATAAATTAATGATAATTATAATAAAGTAATTTCGCATAACTTTTATACAAAATTGTATATACAGAGAACATTTTTTATTATATTTTGGTAATTAAAAATTTTAATTAATGTAATTGATTTATTTTTAAAGAAACTGTAAATTTTTCTGCATTACATTCCACGCAAGAGAAGTCAAAGTGCACTTCCGCTGTTCACGTGCCACGTCGACATATTGCTCGCGTCCCGCAGAGTGCATGTAACACGACACGTGACCACCGAATACCCCACAGATATTCTCCATCCGAATCACGCGCCCCGCGTTTGAGAGGCAGTATTTAACCATTAGCAACTGTTTACTTGATTTTAAGAGTCAATCCAATTCACATGATTGTCGACGGGTAAATATTAAAATACAATAGCGTCTCGTTTTCACTCAAGCCAAGCGGAGATATTTTTATAAAATATAGAATTACATAATATAATATATTTTAAACATTTTTATCGCATATCAATGTAAGAGCCGTAAATTGGAAAAAGGAAAGATGTCTTGTTCGAAAAGTTACGCTGACCCGTATTTTTACAGTAGGTGTTCTTAAAATTTGCACGTGTCGTATTCGCAGCGAGAAAAAAATCACACGAAGGTGCAGATGACACGGGTCACATGATAAAATAATGTCGGAGCCCTCGTAGCATACCAGTCCTGGTGCATTGGACAACTTTTACCCCTCTTTGTTCAGCATGCGGTAGACCGCCTGCTCTCCCTCTCCTCGAAAAACACGATTCACTTGGCACACGATTTTTGTGCATATAATGCACGGTACGAAAAAGCAGTCCCCCTGCTTAATTTAATCCAATACAATATGTCCCCTTGTCTCACTCCGATTCTACCCCTTACCCGCGAGGGCTTAGTTAAAGAGGGTGGGTGGCTTTTTAAAACTGTGCCGATCTCAATTCAGCGTGAAACCTCATCCCATTACGATCGGTCTAATCCTGATTGGAGCGGACAGGTTTTTTACTCTAGTATCGATGGCCTATCACCGTGTCTAAGGGTGAATCTCAGAAATGATGTCTGATGTTTAGTGGTGTATATCGTACCTTAAATATGTGAACATAAAAGCGCACTGATATTAATGATAAACATATTTTTTTTAAATAATAATTTGCGAATTGTAAATACGTAATGTACAAGAAATGCGAAATATGTATGGGGGGGTATCAATAGAATTTTTATACATATTTTTTCTTCTTGAACTTAATATATTTAATTTTCTCCATGTTTTAACAAAGACTATTAAAAGATTCTTTAATTATTTTTTTCAATGCAACTAATTTACATACATGTAAGACGTTTCTTATTAAAGTCTCTATTACTGAAATAATAGTCTAATTAAATAGCGAATGTGAAAACACATTCGGTTTTAGTGACATAACATTTGTTATTTTTGACGTAGGAGAAATATTCTCAGCTGTGTTAGTTCTTCAGTGTGGATTAGTATGATAATCCGTAAGAATTAGAAACGAATTTTAAAACAACTGATTTGGGGGAACACATCTTATCTTGAGATCATAAGTTTTTATTAAAAATGAAAATATTCTAATTTGGAATTAATTTTTAATGATAAAAAATATATGTTTTACGTATCACTCTTTTTACGTTGTTGTTTATTTAATATGTACTTAAATTTTTTGGAACTTCGGAATTGCATGAATAAATTATATCTTAGAATGTAATCAGATTTTTATTCTTATTCTTCAAAACGTTGTGTAGCATTTCCATGTTAATCTAAACAAACAAAGTAATGACAAATTAATTTTATATAAATTATAAATGATATATTAATATTGCATAAAAATATTTTTCTTTTACAATATTGTAATACATATCATATTACAATGCGCATTAAGATCTCAGCAAAGAAAAATTCTTATATATATTATATATAGTTTAGAAAAATTAGCTTGAAATAAAAATAGGTTTTAGCAAAGCTTATATATTTTTATTTGTTGCATCTTTTTTATGTCAGCAAGAGAGATTATACCGCGTTGATTTCGAGAATCGATAATTAATTTTTGATAGGCCTTTCTCGTTCTTTCGGCGGTTACTGTTTGCGATAGGGATCGCAAGCGCTGCGATGACCTGTCAGAGGGTGCAAACGAAGGAGATGGATTTGTTGCACAGCTGTGTACACTGCTTAATGTAGAAGGTACCGGATTCGGATATTGCTTTTGTACTGGTTAAGGTAAATCCTGTTATCCAAAAGTTAACTACGTTTTGCTCATTTTCTAGCATCATTAACGTCCTGAAAACTACGATAATACAGTTAGCGAAACGAAAATTATTATCGAAAAATTACTATCAAACTATCACTAAATATTTAAGATTTAGTAATAATTGACATTTTCTATATCTCCAATCACTCCTTCAGATTATAATTTAATTTTAATTTTATTTGAACTTTTTTAGTTGAATAAAATTTTGCTGAGATTTTAATTTTAATTTATCTATTAAAATAAATCTTTATTTTAAATCTATGCGTCGTAAATATATACTGAATATCGTACCAAATTATTTATCACGCTAAATTGCGTGATTTTCCGTCGCGGGTGATTCATAATTCATGAAATTGCTATCAGTTTCACCTCCTTCCAAATTGTATACGCTTGCTAATTTCTTGTTTCTGGAAATATCGTATTCTTCGCCAAGCTGTCTGTATGTTTGCGCACGATTCTCCAAGATTTCTCTAATAATTTCTGTAAAAACCGTTGTACGTTTGCATACATATACATGTTTATTACTTATCGAAAACTATTATAAAGATAAATCTCTTTGCTATTTTATGCTCGATTTTTCAAAATAAAATTAGAGAAAGTATGCATTTTTTTTTTTAAAGACTTTACTTTTTCAAAGCTCAACCTTACCCATTAACAGTTCTCTGCTTTCAATCATGTTACCCATTTCTTTTTTTACTTCTTTCATTAACCACGGCATGAAACCTTCTTCGACATCTGAAAGTAATATTTATGGCACATTATTATCTAAATAAAGATAATTGAGCTGGGGAAGAGGAAAACAATAAAGAGAAACTTAAAGATACTAGGTGTACAAATTAGTTCGGTCCGTTTTTTATGTTCAAAAATGCATTTATTTCAAAATGAATGAACAGATTAATTAAAGTATTGTCCATCGCTGGCTACTACTATTTCTCATCTCTCAGGCAATTTTCGAATTCCATCTCGAAAAAATGACTCGTCTTTGGAGGTGATCATCTTTTGGAAAACGGACCGAACTAATTTGTACTCCCAATAGACAGAACTTTTTTTTAATTTAACAAAATTATTTCTTGTGAGCTCACGAACCAGCCTTAATTTCGTCCAGTAAGTAGCCAGACATCTGAAGACCCTCCAGAACTGAAGGTAAAAGTTCAGCGATATATCCTGTTAACAATACTGCAGCAGCAACTCGTTCCTCGGTTTCTTGTTGAGCTTTTATCGCCTTTTCATGTTGTTTCAGACGTTGATCCTGCAGATTGGAAATAAATTTGCTTTTTTAAATTTAAAATATTTTTCTTGCTTTTTTTACTTATGATAACGTAAAGAAAAGAAATAAGAGACTTAAAGGAATGCTGGAGTACCAATGGAACACTCATTTCGTATTTCTCATGCTATTTCGTTTTCTTTATACAGAATAAAAATTCCGTTCCCAGAATAAAAGGAAAAACACAAATAAATGCGGAAAAGTATAAACCGGTATGAGAATCCTCCAAAAATTTTAAATTACAGTTTTCTGTTACCATGTAGGTTTTTTTCTTCACATATATGTATATAAACGAATGCAAGGATATATCTAAACAAAAAATACTTTCCCGTATTTGACTAATTTATAAGAGTATCATGAGACCTTCAAATTATGATTTTGAAGCTTACAAGAGAAATGGCATGAGAAATACGATTTGAGTGTATGATACATAACCTTACATTCAAGCGATATATAGGATACAGCAGAACAAGAAATGTACGTAACGTTTTACTTAATGGTTTATTTAATGTATATAATGTTTTACTTAATGTAAATATTTTCTTGATGTATGTAATATTTTAATTGGGATTGAAAATCTGTTTTATCGACATTGATTAAGTTCGGCCGTCTCTCCAGCATCGCTTTAAAAGATCACAATGCCAAAATATTTAAAGATAAAAAAAAGTAAATAAACATTATCAATTCTCTTATTGGACTGCTTACATTTCAAATCGAATGAGACAATGCTTACAGCGGTCTAAGCTGGATCACGGATGCTTTTAAATAATTGCCTAAATAGACGTTATACTTACTTATACGGAATGCTAGAGATCCGGGTTCGATTCCCGGCCGAGGTAATATTTTTCGCAATACGAGGGCAAGTCAATAAATTCTTAGAAAATCTATCAGAGAGCACTCGCAGTGTCATGTCACATTACTTTTTGACAAGTAGCATCTTTCAGCTGATTACTGTCAAATTTTGAGCGGAATTCATCGAGAGATTTCATTTCTGTAGACGATTAAAGCGAACAACCTTTGTATTTTTTGCAAAATGGAAAAAAATGAGTTTCGTGAAGTGATCAAACATCTACATATGAAAGGTTTAACGCCGAAAGAAATCAAAGACGAGTTGGATAATGTTCATAGCACATCTGCACCAGCGTTTGCGAATGTATACAATTGGGTGAATGAATTAAATGTGGTCGTATATCCACATGTGATGCACCTCGTTCGGGACGTCAAATTGAGGCTACTACGCCAGAAATCATCGATAAGTCCACGATATTGTTTTGATTGATCGACGAGTGAAAGTGCGCGAGTTTGTTGAGGCCACAGACATATCACATTGATTTCAATTTTGCACGAACAATTGGATATGAAAAAGCTATCGGCAAGATGGGTGTTGCGTTTGCTCACTGTGGACCATAAGCGTGACGATTTCAAAACAATGTTTGGAGATGTTTCAACGTAATCCAGATGAATTTCTGCGTCGATTCATTACTGTGGACATGGATCCATTACTTCACACCCGAGACGAAGGAACAGTCAAAACAATGGACTTCACCGAGTGAATCAGCTCTGAAGAAGGCGAAGACCGCGAAGTCGGCCGGAAAGGTGATGGCCACAGTTTTTTGGGATGCACGCGGTATAATTCATATTGATTACCTTTCGTCGAAGCAAACGATCAATGGCGATTACTACGCAGCCTTATTGGACCGTTTCGACAACATTTTAAAGAAAAAACGTCCTCATTTGGCGAAGAAGAAAATGCTCTTCCGTCATGACAATGCACAGGTTCACACGTGCCCGGTACTGATGGTCAAATTCAACGAATTCCGCTACGAACTGCTTCCCCATCCAGCATATTCGCCAGATTTAGCCCCCTGCGACTATTTCCTGTTTCCAAACCTGAATAAATGGTTCGGAGGAAAGAGATTCACCACTAGAGAGCAGCTTACCGCCGAAACAGATATTTTGAAGGGTTGGATAAATCATATTATTCGCACGGCTTGAAAAAGTTGAAAATCGTTGAATCAAATGTATCGAGCTGAAAGGAGACTATGTTGAGAATTAAAAATGAATCGATAAAAAAAATGTGTTTTATTATGTTTTTCTAAAAAATTATTGACTTGCCCTCGTATTGTTTATTTACGTTGCCTAAATAGACGTTGTACTTATACTGATTATTGCGAAGAATATTACTAAGGCCTCGGTAGTCTAAAGGCTTAGGACGCTTGCAAGGAATGCCAGAGATCCGGGTTCGACTCCGGACCGAGGTAATATTTTTCGCAATAAAAAATTAATTATTTACAATTTTTAATAGGTTATTTAACATTATTAAGATCGATATAAGATGCGTAAACAGCATCAATAATCGTTAAATTGTTAGTCAATTTAACTCGTGATATTACTGCGGTAGTTTATTAGTGTTGCGTTTCAAGTCTGAAAAAATTTCGGAGCAACCGAAGAATTACGTATGTACGTGGTATATAAATTCACATGTAATTATTTAGAAGCACCCGTGATCCAGCTTAGACCGCTGTAGGCATTGTCTCATTCGGATTAAGAAAAAAGTCTGTAGGTACCTTTTCTTCTCGACGTCTTCTATCCTCTTCCGCTAATCGTTGTTCTTCAGCTTTTTCAGCCATGCGTAATTCATGGAATCTTCTCTGCTGCTCTTTAAGAGCAGCAATTTCCTCCTCTTCCAGAACCTCGATTAGGGCTTGTTCAATAGTCTTGCCTACCAACACTTCCAAAATTGGTTGGACTTCAGTGTCGTAGTCGAAGAGCTATAAATGTCGTGATACACAACGTTCACTCTATAGACCGATCTAATCGTAATATAAAACATCGTAATCTATTGCGATAAAATATTAAAAGCACGTACTTCCCCGGGTTCGATTTGCGTGCAAGCGTCTTGACCAACAACTTTGTCTGGATAATAGTTTGGTAGTACTGGTTTTTCCAAGAAGTAATCGGTCTGCGTGGCTACTTCGGATTCATCCGGTTTTTCTGTCAGCTTAAATATACAATATATTTATTTAAAAATTTGACACAAACTCGCTTGCCTTAATGAAACGTAATAATTAGTCGATAATTAAATAAAGAATAAATTTACTTCACCTCTTCGAGAAAAATCTCCGTTTGCACCGGTTCGTGTTTTCGTCCAGGAACTGGAGGAGGCGAACCTGTTCTGGCGACGAGTCCTCTACAAGTTTGAATTTGAGCACGTTTCCTCGCCAAATGTCTTCGTCTTGCTTCCGCTTGCCTCGCTGCTATCGATTGTTCCCCATCGATCTGGATAAATACGAATTTTATGAGAAATATTAAATTGATCTTTTATTTCGAAAAATTAGTGAGGTGCTTACAAGAGTAGGAACGGAAGCGAATGTGCTTCCTCGAGCCACTCGGCGGTCAAACATAATATTCCCGAAAGGAACTGATTGATCACTGTAAAATAATGTTGTAGGTATAGTAAGAATTAATAACACTAAACAAATTTAAAAAAGCTCAGCTGAACATCATACTAAGTAATAATAATAATTATTACAAAATCCGTCGCTTTTATGCAAGCATCGACAAGCTTTGCAAAATAATTCATATTTTTTAAATTAGATACGTATATAAAGCTATAATCATTTTAAAGCCATAATTGCCATATAATAAATTTTTTATGAATATCTAATCTCAAGTTATATTTCTTCATTTTTTATTTATTTCACCAATTTTTTTCGATGATATAAAACATAATAATTGGGAATTAAATTATATAATAGATAACTCTAGTATTTCATCAATTTTATTATAAAATTTATTATTAGTTATATTTTATTCTAATATATAAAAGATTTGTATATACATATAATTATATATACACATAAGACATATAATTAATAATAATTCAATAGTCAATAATAGTCGATGAAGTAATTCAAATTTTTCTATGTAATTGAGTTAAAATAATTTTGGGTATGTACATTTTGTATATTAATATACATGACAAAATAATTATGTACGCATATATCATTTTGTATAATACAAAAGAGTTGTAATAAAGAATATGCGTGTCACTACGCAGCAAATTATAATGTAGAAGAAAACAATTTAAATTATCTGTAATAAATATTATATTCGTGACATTTATCTGTTCGCATTTAATGAAGCATGCGTTTCAATCGCATAGCAACAAAATATCACGATATGTCTATGACCCTGTTGCACGCTAATAATTAATTGTCAATGTGTGTTTGATAACAATCGCGGCAGTGCCTAACGTGAATGCAGCAAAACGTTTATAACATATTTTTAAGTGCAGAATTCATCTAGTAGCGTTTTCGATTAAGTGACTCGACCCGACTCCGGGTCGGATTGACTTTGATCACAAGTTCGATTTGGTTTGATTTGAGATGCCATATCTGCACAGTATTATGGCGGAAGAGTTGTCTTGTCGTCTTCTGTAACCTCAAAAATTGTTTTTACATATATTGTACGAATTAAGTATATGTATAATAATCATTTATTAATTCGTATTAATATATGTAAAAACAATTTTTGAAGTTACAGAAGACGACAAGACAACTCTTCCGCCATGATACTGTGCAGATATGGCATCTCAAATCAAACCAAATCGAACTTGTGATCGAAGTCAATGGGCGCGTTCAGAGGACTCAAGTTGAGTGAGCGCTCGCTGTTATTGGTGTATTGTTCTAGAACTAAAATTCTGATTGGATGATCTAAAAGAATACACTAATAATAGCGAGCGCTCACTCAACTGATGAGTCCGCTGAACGCGCCCAATCCGACCCGGAGTCGGATCAAGTCACTTAATCGAAAACGCTATGGTACATGTATTCAATGAAAATGTTTTACAAGATTGAGTTTTTACATTTGATTACCAAGAGAATAACAGAATTACTAGGAGTAGACTCGACAGCTTTTGACATGTAGTCATATATTTAGTCTGATTATATTTCTTGGTATACCTACTAGTTATATAAATAATAAAATTAATAGAAAAGTAAAGTTAGTAGAGAGAAGTAAAAATTAATCCTCTATCTAAAGTGTAAACTTTTTTTAGTTACCTATCTTCATATTACTCTCTTCTCAGTGTTTTTTACTCATTCGTACAGCAAATAATTGAAGAAAGAAAATAGTTAAATAAAGAGCTAAGATTTACATAACAGTATAAATGTCATGTAAAACATATGTTTAAAGTTTAAATAGACCTTAATGTGACATTTTAGAGTTAATATTACTGCTGGAGAATAGCCAATTTAATCTCATTCTTGACGAATACGATTTCTATTCTATTGATAGTCAAGAATGTGGTGCACGAGGAGCGACGACAGCTTAAAGAGAAATTTGAACGCGACTAAGCGCACGAGAATAAATCAGATCGACGAGAAGAAAAAAAAGCAGGGAAAAAGCAGCTGCTATCGACTAAAAGACCAGTGATAAGTGTGGTGCCACTTGTAAGGTGTTTTCGTTACCCGCGAAGTCTCGGCAGCATATTCATCATGCCCTCGATCGGTTCCAACTTTTTCGGTAAAGCTCGCGGCGTCTGCGGGAATCTGCTAGAAAAACAATTCCTGCTCTTCTTATATACTTTTTCTTTTATTCTCGACATGCCTCTCATTATCTTTATTCACGCGTATTAATTGAATTCATAATTCGTCTTTTTCTTTTTGGAACAAAGACACCTTTTACGCTTTTAAATTTGAAACATGCTAGCAATAAGCTCTTTTTGTAAGCTTCTTTTAGTAGGCCGATCGATTATATTCCAGCAATATCTGTCATTTTTATAAATATTTAATGTTTGATGAGAATGACGTAAAATCAAAATATTATAAAATGCATATTACGATTTGCATTCATGAAAATATTTAGAATGCAACATTTTTTTTTATATCGTCACTCTGAACGATACGAAACAAATTCAATGGAAACAGGGGCGGATGATTTTTCGTGGTGTTTGAGATTAATAATTTTTAAATATCCTTAATTAAGTAGAAAGTATGTATTAGAAATGACACTCCTATTCTATGTAACATACAATTTTTAAAAAATTGACAATTGAAATGTTCTGTGAAGATATTTTTCTTATTTTTTAATGAGATTATTGCGAACAAAACATTATAATATATCTTTTTTTCTTCTCTTTTTCTCTTTCTGTATCCGCCCCTGATTGTAAGGAGACAATCACGTCACTATGACATGTCAAATGAACGGCATCTGGAACGCAATTGTGCTATGTCATCTCAGCATCACTTACGCCAGTTCATTCCTCTTGAACCTTCTTGCCTGCTCGTTCAAGGTTGAGGCGGTGGCGATGGTAGTGGCGTTCATCATACCGAGGGAAAAATCTACGGTGGCCTTTAGGGCGGCTGGACATCTGGCATTATGGCTATTATGACGTACTTCTGGTCTCTTGGTTGGCGATACTAGTGATTTGAATCTACTCTTCAGAGGACATCCGTCTGCGGCCTCTTCTTCGTCCTTTCCGCTGGGCGCTATGCCGAGCAAGGCCGCCACTTCCGGTGGCGGCATTAGAAATTCCCCCGTCTTCACGGTCGTGATGAACGGCTTCTTCTGCGGTAGGATCGATTTCTTAGGCGACTTGCGGCCTTGCTCGGCCTCGACTTGCTCTTGAAGTTTTTTCAGTTTTGCGTTCAACACCTCGTTGAAATCTTCCGTTGATAAAACAAGGCTGGGTTTAACTGTAAGTGGTCTGTCCTCAAATAACGTTAAGCTATCTTGACTTTTACTTTGATGTTTTTTCTTCAGAGGATTGGCTTGATTCGACTGTAGACTAGCCAAGACCAGATGTTCATTGGATTTGCTGATACCTCTGCGATTGCAGAGATTATTCTTCATCGCGTTCTTCATGTTTTCTAAGTTGATAAGTTGCGACGCATTCATCTCATCGTCTTCGTTGACGTGTAAAAGAGGCAGACTCGAGTCCAGGCCATCCTTCTGTAAGATTGTAAAGGCCGGCGGATCCTTCGCTTCATAATCGAAAGATTCCGCATCCGTCGACGGCGCCAGAGTCGAAATACCAGCCGGCATCCTTCCGATTTCTTTAGACGTCCGATTTTACGGCGGACATGATGAATTGGTCGACGAGAATTAAAATTGCGCGTCGTGTTTGACTTTTCGAGCGTTCCCCTTCAAAAGTTTAAAGATTACATTTTATTTGAACGATTTTACTCGTTATGCGTTTTTATTACGCAGAAGGAGGTAATTGTGCCATGAAACTTTCAAAAGCTATTATCTCAAGTTTTAGAAGTTTAGTCTATTGATCGCTCATTGATTGTCCGTATTTGCTAAGTGAGAACATGACATAGTAACTGAAACGTGAACGTGGCGTTCGTAATTATTTCTTTAATTATTCACCGGTGAAGTCACGAGAGGTCTAGCTATAAGCAAGATTGTCTAATTACAAAAATATGAATACCAGTTTTGTGATAGTTAACGGTGAGAAATCATGGCTAGAAGAAGTTTTTTTGTCAATCTTGATAAAAATACTAAAATATGAAAATTTTCGCAAATTTAATTAAGAGTGCGATAAGATATGACGAGCAATTTTATACATATGTAGATTATTTACATACCAACTTATTTGAAAACAGTTTTTATTTTTATCATAATCAAACGCACGTTATTTTAAAGTTTCGGAGTAGAAAACAAGGAAATTTCTCACATAATCGTATTTTTGTATTACAAATAAGGACAGAAAGTATATTCGTATGTTTATAATATTGAAGTTAAAACTCTTTGAAATTACATTGACTTTAATTGTCCTCTCGGTTTACATTAATACATACTGTAACAAAATTGGCGCCAAACCGGCGGTTTTGCAGCCCGCGAAAGATCGAGGAAAACGTCGTGACCGTTCACCGAGTATAGCCGCGGCATTACTGACTCTGGCTCGTGGGGGAGTTCAGAGACTGGACAATGTCCTTAGAATCGACCGATATAGACCCCACAGGCCAAGTTGCACATATATCTTCATGCGACCGGCCACTCAATAACGCTGACCATTGCGAACGTTGCGCATGCTTAAGTCTACCGACGAAGGGTGGAATATCGTCGGGGTTCTACCTGTCTAGGGAACCTGTTCGGGAACTTCTAACCCTAGCAACACTTCAAGGTGAAACCCCACTTTTGATCGCCTCAGTCTGTCGCAAAAAACGGCTTCGCATATTTGACTCATGTTCTAAATAAGTACAAACATGCGATTCTTTATTCTTTGATACTTTTTATAAAATTAACCAATTACATGTACATATATGCGTTTTTCTCACTTAGGTAACCTCTTGTCGAGGTTTCTTATTCTTCGAAATGGCTAGTTGCTTTGGTTTGTAACGGTAGTTATTTACTAATGCAAGTATGTATGTGTGTGCGCGCGTGATAAAGTGTAGGTAGAAAATGAATTACGAAATGAGTAAGGCATTTTGTTATCGAACGACTTATGCAAATAGTATACATGAAAATTTAGATTCAGGGTGTAATTAGACCTAATATGTGAATATGAACGATATTCTGTATAATAATACTTTTTTTGCAATAATATATTTAAATTACACTATAAATTACAACTTTATCATATATTATATTAATTCCAGTCTTTCATAAAAGAAATAAATTATGTATATAGATATATATATAAACGACACACACATACAGAAAAAATATAAAAAATTGTGTGTGTATATATATATATATATATACACATATAATACATACGTTTTTTTACTACATTTCAAAAATTAAGTTTTCTAAATTTTTCAAAAAAATTTCGATTAAGGATTCCATTGTATACTTTATACAGAATCGTATAATCGCAGTCGCGTTTATAATGGTTTCGTGCTGCTTGAAATATTACATACGACTTTTACGGTACATAGCGTATTAATCTAACTATAAAATCTGTTCTCAGCAAACCGAAGTTTGAAGTATGAAGGTTGGATCGAGTAACTGATTCTTTAGAAAGATTCTAAATGTAAAATTTTTTTGTACGAATTCTACACGAATGATATAATTCTCGCACAATCATCAATTGTATGATGCCTTATAAATCTTAAAGATTTTATTGTACAGATTTATAACATACGACAATATATTATTATAAAAAAAAGTATTTAATATATTTTAAGAAAATATTGATTTAATAAATTGAAATCTAAAAATAACAAGTGACATTTAGCAAGTAGACATTTATGTCAGAGTTTGTAGGTAGTGTAATAATGGGGTAGTTTTTTTCCTTGCATGAGCACCTGATTGGTCAACCTATACCCGAATAATGTCGTAAATAGTGACCTACGGCTGTTTACGATCGTCGATAGTAGCTTACAGTACTTGTGTTATCGTTCTATTTTTTAAATAGACTACCGATCTGTTTTTCAGAGAATTCTAACAAGAAAGTTTATTCTAATTGCGCTAGAAAAATACATAAATTGATATTAATATTTTTATTTAGAAAAGGTTAAAAACGAATGGCAGTTGGATGAAAAATATAAATTTTTATTGTACTTCGTACTACTGTTAATATTGCAGAAATCCTTGAAGAAACTTCTCTCTGGTTTCTCGTGTTTTGCGTGAAAAACGTCGCGTGCGATTATTATATGTTTAGGACGCCAATATTCGCCGTTAGAAAATCAATAAAATAAGTAGGACACGTGCACCTATGCGAATATTTATATATATTCTTTTTTTATTTTTATAGTTCATTCGAATAAATTAGGGGGAAATAAGTTTCATTCAGTGTCAATTTCTTTTAATAACATATGGTATATGTGTACACACATACACTATATTCATTAATTATTTTATAAAGAATTGACATTCTCTCTTTAAGATTACCTTATATAAGAGATTATTATTGCTAATTCATATTTGAATACTTCTTCTACATATAACGTAAAGCATGTGTTTCTTTATCCTAATCAATATCACTTGCTGGTTATTTTATTATGTCATATGCAAATGGTTTTATGCGAAATATAGTACGCAATATGAATAGTCAGAAAACGTTCTTTAAGACTGTATTATTATATTTAATGTACACAAAACGATGTTAATATACACAAAATGTACAAATGATTCACTTTTGTGTAAATTTATGATGATATTTACACATATTTTTATAAATTATTTATTAATCTGTCATATTGAATTATAATCATGTTATTTTATTTGTTTATTTTCTTCAATTAATGGTAATGATTAATAATAAATTGACTGTAATCGTATTTAAGAGATTAAATGTTCTCGATAAATTTTTTAATTTGAATATTTTGCAAAATTTGAAATTTAAAAAAAAAAGAAATTTTATTCTGACTTTTATTAAAAACTAGAATTTATTAATAAAAAAGAATTTAAGATTTCGATCTAGATTCTTACGAAAGAAACGTTTCTTATATAATCTAGTAATATAAATAGAAAGTATCTAACGTAGCTGTACAGCATAAATATTCTCTTTTGATAGAACTAGAAATCGCGTGAAGCCAATGTGCATAGCATCACACACTTTGTATTCTTTCGTGTGCGGTCATTCCCTTTGTCGTCTATAAGCACAGTAATCTATAATCTACTAAATCGCTGCTGCATTATCTATGTGCTGTGCTTTTCCAGTTATTGATATTCTTTTTCTAGTTCTAAAACTTAATCCTAATAGTTTCCTCGGAATGTGTAAGTTAGAGAAATTCTTTTCTCTATAAGCTGCCTATAAGCTGTCTACTTTTTTATTCAAAAAATTAATAAAATATATTACTATTGATTTAGTGATAGTCTTCTCCAGTTCAACGAGATTGTTTTAAATGAATTTATTAAGAATTGTGAGTTTAAAAAATCTCCAGAAAGAGAAGAGACTTGTAATAATAATTAAAAAATATTTACAGTGGGAAAAAAATCAAAGATAAACAACGTGCGAGGAATAGAATAAATTTTTACATTAATATGTACGTCTTTTATAAAGTTAGTAGTTCACACTTTCGCGTAAGCTTAGCACAGTGTTAAATATGTAGAGCATGCTTTACGTAAGGAAACGAACATAATCTGTGTTTTCCGTATCATACGTTTGTAATGTTTCGAATCATTAATTCAGAGAATGATTAGGGCGTATATTTGCACGAGATCGTTACGGATAGAATGGTTTAATACACTTGTTGCGTCAACAAGATGAAAATTTTATGTGCAATTACGAATATAAAAAGTTACTTTTTATTAATCGTGCAAAGTGGCTTATAATTATTATTATTATCGTGTAATTATGATCTTATATCACGTTATTATGTTGGAGAAATAAATTATACTGCTTAGTAATGAAATCAAACTAATGTATTTAAACGAAGACAAGGACTTAATTATGCGTATTTTCAGTGTGGAAAAAAATTTTACTTAAAAACTTGTCGAGATTTGCAAATCTGCCGATGTTTGCTAAGCAATTTTTTGAGTTTCAGAAAAATTTCTCATTAAGCAAGGTTATTATGTCATTATCATGTCGTAACATCATTATTTGTTATCGGAAGTAATTGGTTATACTTACATAGGAGGATTTCTATATTTCTTTTGAATGTGCAGTATCGCTCTTGGACTCTTCACGAAAGTGTAGGTCTCCTTCTTCTGTGTGTCGAAGGGTATATCGTAAGACTGTAACCCCCGATTACACATTCTGCACTGCTCCGTCGTTCTTGTAATCATTGTGAATTTTTTCGCACAATTTAATTACGCAAAAGTTCTTCTTTTTAAAATACGGTACAGTATCGCACGATTTTCAATCTTTTATAAAAAGATTTTTCAAGACGGTTCTTGTTCACTACTGGGCTGACTGAACTCTTAGTGTCTGTCGTTATAGAAACGGATCAACTCCGAAATTCTCTTTATTGACTTGCAGTTATTCGTATCCAAGATACGTAAACTATATTTCATGAATCTTATTTACTATGTATACGAATTAGAACTTTGATTTAGTATTTATGGAAAGAGGAAAGGTATTATATTTAGAGAAAGTTTAATTTTGAAAGTTATATATGTATATATATTATTTAAGTAATTTAATTATAATT